CATGCCAGAATCTCTATTCCCAGAAATCTTATTACAGGATAGGATGTTGTTCTGAATCATTCACTGGGGTTTAAGGATAGCTCTAACACTTGAATGGAGAGTTGATTCAAGAGATCTCAGTGTATATTAGGCAGAGATATGAATGAAATGAGCATAATAGGATCCAGTCTTTACCTCAGGATACATGGTTCCCTGATCACCTGAATGCAGTCTTTTCATTAGTAATGGTTATAATGATTATGTTAGTAACACTTGTTTTTTCATACAACAATTAGAGATTCCCACTGTAATTTATTAAATTGTCATATCTGTCAACACATAAAATAAGACAAGTCTCATTTGGTGCCTTTCCAGTGTAAACAATATAAAAATCACACAACCTTAGAACAATTTTGGTTGTACAGGACCTCTGAAGCTCCTCAGGTCTAACACCATGTTCAAAGCTTCGCCAACTTGAAAGTTAGATTAGATTGCTCAGTACTTTGTCCGGTTTTTAATATTTCCAAGTATGCAAAATCTGCCACGTCCCTAGTGAATCTGCTTCAGTGCTTAACAAGCCTCACTGTAATAATTATTTTTCTTTATATCTAGTTAGGGTTGCAGTCTGTGGCCCTTACCTCATGTGCCTGTTGTAAAAGAGCCCTCCTCTGCCTTTCCCCTTGCTGACATAGTGGCCCTTTGCTAGGCTTACTCCAGTTTGTTAATATCTTTCATGTACTGGGGACTCCAAAACTGGACACAGTAGTCCAGACACAGTTTCAGAAGTGCAGAAAAAGTAGGTATAATCACTGTTCTCAGTACTCTCACTACGTAGTGGCTAATGCAGTGCAGTACATGGTTAGCCCTCACTGTTGCAAGGCTGCACTGTTTACTCACATGCAACTTGTCGTTCACCAACAACCTTTAAGTGCTTTTTGTCTTTCCCAATTGTTTACTTCCAGATCATTTCTGTATTACTTCTGCAGCTTTTTGAGATCCCTCTGAACAGCAGCCTTATTATCCAGCATATTGACTGCTCCCTGCAATTTGGTGTCAACCACAAATTTGTTGACAAGTGTGTTCCTTTCCATATAATTACAAAACAACAAATCACACCACTACCATTTTGTCTAGTAGAGCCAATATACTGGTTTCCCAGGTAATGAAAAGCTAAAGATTGTTTTGAAGGCACACTTCACAAGGGACTAAGGTAGGAGCTGAGTGATTACGAGGAAGGAAGATCTGAATTTAAATAGAAAAATAGCAACGTTTTATATAAAAGCAGGCAATGACAGGTCCTCTGGTCAGTAATTGCTTGAGATGAATGTGGACAGAAACAGTTGATGTGCACACAAATACCCTTCTGATATGGCAGTATTTCCACCCATTCTCATCTTACTCCCTGTACCCGGAAATGTTATATGAAACTACTATATGTATTTTAATGCTAGCGCACACAATAATCTTTTAACCTTTATCCAATACTGGGTAAAAGTATCAATTACAGAAATATCCTTGTCACCTTCTTTGACTTTTATGCTATAGGACTGATGTAAAGAAGCCATAGCATGAACAGAAACTTGGCCCAAAACTGTTTTTACCCCCATGGAAATATCAATAGGCAAGATTCCATCTTGGTTACCACAGTGTCAGTCTGGAGACATGTCAGTAGCCAGCTGAGTTTATTTGCATTGCTGGAGATTAAGATCAAGTCTCACTACAACTGGATGTGTCAGTCATTAGCAGAGAGCCTTTGTACCTGGCATTCACATTGACTGCAAATTTCACATATAAGGACCAATACATACAAAACTCATTTCAGATCTCATCTCTTCCAATACAAGAAGTAAGAGGAAATAAAAATGGAAGACAAGCAAACAACCTCCTTCTTGGAAGAATGTGGACTTGACAAATGTGCTGTTCTACCTGGTCACTATTTAAATTTTATAATACCTGTGACGCTGAGTCACCTTGTCCTATCAGGAAACAGAAGAGCTATAAATCACCCTCCAGTGAAGAACTCTGGTCACTTCCACAACCAGCTGAAGAAGGACAGAAGAAACTTCCAAGCTTCCTGTAAACAAAAGGTAGGATTTAGATTTATTTGTTTGTTTAAAGTATTACAATTTTTTCATGTATTAAAATTCAACCTATTGTAAGAACACTTCTTGAACAATCTAGGACAGTCGCAGAAAGAGGATTTTACTCAGTGAAAATAAGGGTTACATAGGCAATAGTGTAACACGAGCTGAAAAAAAGGGAAGCAAAATTGGTGAACAATCAAAAACAGATGAAAAGCCACCTGTATGCAAGAAAGAAGTATCTTGGCAGATTATATGTACATAAAGAAAGAGACAGAGACAGACCGAACATATTGAATTGGATATATATTCAGTTCAGTATATTCTATTGCTACATGTAGCTATCACCACTTATTTTCAGAGTGAGGAAATTACCACCTAGTGCAACTTACCACTCTTGTGCAAGGTGGCTGCTAAATAGGACTTTGTGCAACAAAGCTGTACAAGTGAAATCACAGCTAGTATTATGCCATTCCAGGTGTTTTTCAAGGATAATAAAAAATAATGGGAATGTTCTTTTGTAAGGGATATTCAATTGTATGAATAATTTAGGATACACTTTTTTTTTTTAGGAGGAGGGATAGGAAAAACATATTCACACAAGTTTGCTAAACTCATACAAACTAGGGATGCTAAAGCACCATCTTTCAGTGGCAGATCCCTGTACACAGATGGAGTTGCAGGAAAGTCAGTAAGACTTGGCACGTGTCCTGATTTATGTTTGATTGAGGGGGAACAGGGGAGGGGGACAGAGAGACTGATTTTAGGACCAGTGCCTAGAAATTAATGCAGAGCAATTAAATTTACATCTCATAAACTATAAACATTTGGTTGAAATCAGTGGGATTGCCAAAAGTATGTTAATATCTTGGAGCAAGAAACCCACTGGGTCTTAAAAAGCATTCCAATGGCATTCTGAAACTTCTATCATGTATTAAATTACCAATTATATATAATTGTAAGTTAATTCATAGAAAATATTACAGTGAATGAATACTTTGCCCATGTCTTTAAGTCAGCATCTTCAGCTTGGTTTGCAAAATAGAAAGCTTCACAATTTCAATGAAGAGTCATTTTTCCTTTGAAACAGAGATTTTTTTTTACATATTTTAGGTGCAAAAAGGGTTGTTTTAAATTTGCATATCATCACATTTTGCACTCAAAAGACGTATTTTTGTTTGCAACTTCAGTACAGCTAAAAATAACCCCCACCTCTATTTACTTTCTAGTTAGAAATTAAGTGAAAAGAATAATTTTTCATATTATGGGGAGTATACTCTTTTATTGCTAAACACCTAGGTCATATACACTGCAAAGTTTTGTAACACCTCTGAGAAATAAGTGATAGAAAAGTAAGTAAGAAAAAACTTCTGTGATCCTGAAGCACTTCAAGAAGGCATAGGTGATGTCAAAATTAAACATAAGTGACATAAGGTAACACCAAGAACAGGAAATCAATGATTTACACTGTTAATTACCAGTATGTTTTTCCCCCAGATCAGCTAGATCTTCCCTCAACTACAAGTGCTCGGACTAAGCCACCTTATTTTGAAGGCTGTGAGAGTTTAGTTGTACAGATGTGGCCAGTCTGTCCAGTCTTTTGGCCTCTGAGCTGCAGCTGCCCATAGTCACAGTCCACTTCAACTGGCTTTGCTCTTTAGCAGAGCTGGAGCAGCATCCCTGCCTACAGGCTGAGGACTGTGGGTTGCCTCCAGTGCAATGTAAGCAAGCTGGTGAGGAAAATGGGCCTTGCTGTATCATTTGGAAAAGGTTAGTTTTTCTTAGCCACATGTCCTCCGTGAACCAGAGCACCTTGTGTTTTATATAAACTGGTTGCCTCAAGGTAAAGGGGCTTTGCTGAATATGGAAAGATCAGCAAATCCTATTGGCCTTTCCCCAAGAATAAATTAAGACTAAAACCAGAAGCCCCTCAAAACCAAATAAGAAGTTAAGCTAATAATATACCTCTGTGGCAACATACCCATAAATTCCCTTGGAGTGGGAGGCTGGGAAAAATGCCAAAATAAGTAAATTCCATTCTAGTCACCTGCTTGCCTGCCCAAGGTATCTAACCAGAAACAAGCTGACTGTAACTCCTATGACTGATTGCAATCAGACACCAGAACTTTGAAGTGACCTATTACCTCCTGGACCACTGTAGTGCAATGGTATGGCACTTTGAGCCTCCTAAGCAAGTAGATTCTAGGAGTCCAGAGTCTGGTGGTTGCTGCTTCAATTAGAGAAGGCTCTCTTTTCTGCTGCCATTCCACATGACGTGTAATATAATCAAGAGTTGTCTTTAAAAAAATAAAAACAAAAAAGGCTTTCTGCAACAAGTCTTCCCCAGGAAGCCAGTGCTGGTCCATTTCTGGTCCAGCCAGTTCTGCCTCAGCTTGTGTGCAAGGCTGCACATTGCTGGTCATTAAGGCGTTTGAATCTGGATTCGGACACCTAAGCGTAGAGGTCTGCACATGGGCTGAGTGTCTAACACCCCTTTCAACCAATGCAGTTCATTCAAAACAGGCGATAGGGAGTAAGGAAAGTTTCAGACTAATGCAGACAGAGAAACAAGCTAAAAGCAGCATCCCACCTCAGCTATTCCACAGTGTGGCAATGAGCAGAAGGCTTCCTACAGGAAGGGAAGTACGAATGTCCTCCTGTACTGTGAATTCAGGTGAATGTATTCGGCCAGGAGTACAGCTGGAAGTAAGACACGTACAAAGGAGTTGATTCAAAGAAATTTTGAAATGCAGAGGAGGAATAAATTTTATTTTTTTATTTCTAAAAATGGGAGGAGGAGAGAAGGAGGAGAGAAAGAAAACATTACTTTGCTATTTGAGAAAAAGCCAGGTAGTACACAGAAGAGAGATGAATTATGTATTCAGAGAAATGAAAGCTCCGTAAAAAATAAATTAAATCCTCATTCTCCCTTTTTCAGAGATGATTCTTCCAGTGGTGTTCCTGTGTCTCGCAGCTGTGCTGCCTCTGTCCACTGGAGAGGTAGGATCCGCACTTTGTACTCAAAAAATCTGAATGGGACCCAAGGCACTTGTGGTCTGACTAAATATGGCTTTTCCTATGCGTACCAGTCATAAGCAGAAAGAGTCTGATTAGATATCTAGGATCTGGAAAACATTTATCCTTGAAGTCTGTTTAATTTCAAAGCAGTAGACTGGTTCCACAGTTGCACACCAAACCAGGCTCACTGTTACTTATAAGTTGGGTCAGAGATAACTATATTTTCCAGAAGCTCCCATACACAGATCCAGTAATCTGGATCTCCCAAAGATCCATCTCTCTTCCTGTTAATTCTCCACACTTTTACAGGCAACAGTTACCTAACTGTCTCCCTTTCTTGTCCTACAGGTCCTGAGCTATGTGCCTCTCTTTTCTCACAGTCCCATCCTCTCAACACGTATCACTGATTTCCCTCAAACAGCTGAAAAAACTAACATACTCAACGCACACTCAGAGTGGTCCCTCCCAACCCATACTTAGTCTGAAGTTTCGAGTTTGCTGCTTCTGCTTCAGAAACACTAATGTGACTGAAGGCTTGACTACATTTCCCCCTAATTCTTCAATTTCTGCTCTTCATGCTGCAATCTAGAAGACTAGTGAGAATGGTTGTAAAGAGGAGGCTGAGTTCTTCACATGGCTACTTTTTAATTAGAAAACACATGAAAAGTTTGAGAAATGCTGTCAGTTATGGCAGGAGTGGAAAAAAAATTATGGCATGAAAAACATAGGCACACTTTTTTTTTCAGTGGGATGTCCTCATGAAGTACCACAAGAGGTCTGTGATGATCCTGTGACTAAACAACAGGTTCCTTCAATAGAAAAAAAAACATTGATAGGCATGTTTAAAATACTGAAGAAGGAGAAAACATCATAAGCACATTCATGTCTTCAGCTGATCCTGTTTCTTCAAAATCTCATGAAGGAAATTATAGTAAATTAAGCCTGATTCAGTTGCCTAAATGTAAGAGTCTACAGGTACATGAGATGTCCCAGGATATCTCAGCCATCCACAGAGGTTTGGCAGATATGCAGGAACCAGTGTTATTACTGCTAAACTCTATGCTGTGGAACCACTTAAAGGGTTACTCCACATGGAAGCACCCCTAGAGATACTTAGGAGACAAAGCATATCATAGTACTTTCTCCATCACAAGGATCTCCTTGGTTGATATTAGTATTTTGGTATTTTAATATTTCCTATACAGGATTCGGGATTTAGTTGCATTCAAACAAAAAAGAAATATAATATGTTCTTTCAATTTAGGAACCCGAAGGTTTCATTGCTCTGTCAACTAGCAAAGCAGATCAGCAGAAGCTGATTGTTGACAGACATAATGCCCTCAGGAGAGAAGTAAAACCAACTGCCAGCAACATGTTGAAGATGGTAAGTTGTGTGCTGTAAATCTATTTGCAATAAGTAATCGATCCTATGAGAGATACAGGACTGTATGCAAGATCACATTATTTTATTTAGCAACAAATTCACCCTCCAGACCTTTTCTAAGGACTGAGCATGGCTAGCACCAAGAGAAACATAAAGCTGGGCAGGTGGAAAAATAAGTCTGGAAAATGTTTTTAGGTATGAACAATAATGTCTCTTTCTTTTGGAGGAAAGAAAAGGAAAAGGAGGAGCCATGGCATTGTTCATTTCTTTCTGATTTCGTCAGTCTTCACAGTTTCTATTCTTCTCCTGGGTGCATAGTAACTTTGTTCCTACTCCCCCTACCCCCCAAAAAGGGGAAGAAAGGGATTTCATATATGATTTTTTCTGATTTGAAGTGTAATTTCTAAACTTTGTTCCTTCATGAGGGGTTATTAATTGGTATGTGTCTGAATGACTAATATTTTCTTTTTTCATTAAGAAATGGTGTCCTTCAGCTGCAAACAATGCCCAAAAATGGGTCAATCAATGTACTTTAAAACACAGTCCTGC